TGTCTTTCAAACTATTCCTGTTATGTAGGTTTCCCTGTATCGTGATAAACCATATTAGTTTAGATAAGAAAACGCGTTGAATTGCAAAAGAATTCAGACACGTAAAGCCAAAAATACAATTGAATAGAAAAGACAGTAGAAACAAGGAATAATATAGATCGAAATCTGTTAAGTCGTGATTATATAATATGTTAGAGATAGAGATTGAGATTGGATTGGAATTTAATCAACCAAAGTAAAATCATTAAACTTGAGATTAGTTTTCTTTCTTCTGAATGGTTAAATTCCAATTCAATTCCAAAATCTTTAGTTTCATCACGGCTTTATTTCCTATTTCTATTGCCTGTGCTTTTTAATTGTATCTCATCTGATAAAAAAATTTCGCTGAAATTACTCCACGTTTTGGAACATTTAGCGAAATTGCTAAAAATTTGCTGAAATTTTATTATATAAAAGTGAATTTTTTAACAAATTGAAAAATTGCTGAAATTGAACTAAAATTTTTATAAAATTCTAAAATTTGTCAAAAAGTATTCTAAAACATGAAATTTTTACGACACAATTTCTTATTCCTACTGAAAATAATCACGTCACAAAGTTACATAACAAAATCGTATAATTAAGACAAAAGTAAACAGATTGTTACACTAAGATTGTCAATACGCGAATTAAAAAAAATTATGATATTTTTTAAATTAATTAGAAATAATTTTGTCCATCACGTTGTTTTATAATCAAATTTTAAAGAATTGAATGATAGAAATAAAAGGAAAAAAAAACATATCATGTCACTTTTCAAATTACGCAATTTTGAAAAATCGCGTATTCTAATTTAGAACAATTCGTTATATGATTTACTTGTCTTAATTGCATGATTCCGTTATATAATTTTGTAACGTGATTTTTTTCTCAGTAGGGATATTTAAGATCGTTTTAACTATAATTTTAAGATTTTGTATTCAGAAATCGATATATTTATAGAATCGGTTCTTATTTTAAAACTCATCTTGAGAATTGTTGTAAGATATGAATATTTTCTGATTGGTTTATCATATATATCTTAAGATTTAAATTTAAGACAGCTTTAAATAATATACAATACTAAGGGGGCCTCGGGGGCCCGAGGATAATTAAAGAATGATGACATTATCGACAAAAATTTACGATAATTAACATAAATCTTTCGATAATAAATTATTAAATTCATGATTTTTTTATTATATAAATACTGTATAAAGAAGTACCCATATTTTCAATGCTATATCCAGTGAGAAATGACAGTAGAATCGACGTCGAATCGACATCAATTCAATGTTGATTTTATTGTCATTTCTCACTGGATAATATTTTATATATTATTGTATATTGCCAAAAAATTAAATTTTTTCCCTGCAGTTATCATCTGTATTGATAATAAAACTCAGACGCTTCCAGCAATTCTGGATACGTCATCGTTTTTGCTCCCGCTGCCTCACCTCGGAAGGTGGGTTGGCTGAAGCGTTTACGTAGCGATTGTAGCATTCGGAACAAATAATTTGGATCTATAAGTAATATGTTCATTTACTCAGCGAGCAAGCTAGTCGCTTTATCAAAGCGTTGACAAAGCGGCTAGCCTGCTCGCCGAGTAAATGAACATATAATTGGTTATTACTTATAGATCCAACCAATCATATTCGATCGCTCGGCAAGCGTATTTAGCCGCTTTGCCGTTTTGAGCTCGCCTAATGTGAGGAAATAGCGATAGTGATAAGAATAACACGGTTTCAATCAGATATCGGATACACCGGAATTTTAGGTTCTAATAAGTTGAAATCATGTTATCTCTATCGCTATCGTCATTCCCTCGCATTGTGTCTAGGGCTTTATTTCATCTTTATTGTTTTCAAATATTAAATGAGGATGAAATGATGCTTGCAAACGTTGCAAATGTTAAGTGGAAAGCGATATGAAATTTGTCTTTCATAGTTGAATAAGTAAATAACTGAATACTCTCTGTGCGCTTAAAGTGAAGTAGGTATATATGTTTATGTGAAATTTGGTAAAGAGCGTGAGAAAAAACATTCTCTCTCTTCTAGAGCAGTTCAGTGCAGCAATAAAAGAATAAGCCTATATTAGTTTTGCATATGTTTTGGATGCACCTGAATATTTGGTATATTCTCTTTGTGACTGGAAGATCTGGAAGGACTCTGTTGCTGATTTTCCTGACCCTGCGGCTCTTGTCGCGCTGTATGCCTTATGACATATCTCTCTTCGTTGCTCAGATTTTCGTTGGACGTAGAAACATCAGTTTCGCTGCCGCTCAAACTTTGAGGAAGACCACCTATAAAAAGAACATCCCGAATAGACATAAGATATAAGCAAGGACTGTATCATATATCAATTTTACATTCAATTTATAAACCATACATTTTATGAAGCTATTATTATACCTTGCATGGACAATTGTTTTCTTTGTAAATTATTGTTCGAGAACGGCAGGAATCTGTTTCCTTGCTGTAGGGAGCTCATTTTCACAGGATTCAGCTCATTTACATGGATTATTATAATGTCTCGTCTGAAAACAAAAGAGCATGAGATTGAGATACTACAGCGTGCAAAAGAGCGGGAGATAAAAATGAATAGGCTTTCTAATAAGATATGTTATCTAATTAGTCAATTTCTTATAATAAAGATTTAAAGATTAGGTAATGGCTTATTGGAGAAAGCCCAGAACATGCGGGAGAACAACGTTAAGGGGCCAAGTGCAGTATTGCGCGCAGAAGTTCCATTATATATATTCTACTTGGGAGGTAGGGAAAGGGAGGAGGAGCATCTGAACGGATTCTTCAGGTAAGTCGTGCGAATAAACAATGGAATACATCGCCGTCGTATCGTCATCGGGGTGTATCTGCCAAATCAGTAGCTCACGCGAGGAATATCCTTCGCTTTCAGAAATTGAAATGGAAGCACGTCGCATCGCGACGCCGCGACGCGTAACGGGCAAGTCGGATTAAAGTATTTGCCTTATCTGTAATTTACTCACTCGATGCGAAATTATGGGAGCGGAGCTGAGTATCCGTGATTATTTTCGATAAATTAGTACACTCCACTTGTCCGTGTAGAAGAAATAAAAAAGTGCTGTTTGCCGCATTCCTCGTCAGATTGCGCTATCGATCGTCTAAAGTTTCTCGAAATTCGAATTAATAATTTGATCATTTTTGTCATTTTTTTTTTTTCAGATTCGCGATGTAATATATCATGAATCACATTTAATTTAATATTTACGCGATTTATTTTATTAATAAAAAAATAACTTGGTTCAATAATTCATATGTATGAATAATAACGAATAGATGATAATAATCAGTAATAATAAAATACACATTTTTAGTTAGTTTGGAGTCTTGTTTTTGAAAAATATCGCACATTTGCATACGAAAATCTTACAGTGAACATTACATATATTAATAGATAAGATTAAGGGTGTATCGCAGTTTGAAGTTCGTATTCACGTATTGAAGATCCGACCAATCGCTGTTTCAATCGAGAATGTTAAAACGGCGGAACATCAGCGATTGGTCGAATCCTCGATATGCGAATGCGCTCGTACTGCACTGATGTGAGGCATCATCAATGGGCGAGTTCAAGCGACAAAGCGGTTAATACCCTTGCTGAACGATTAACTATGATTGGTATAGATTTATATAAGTAACAACCAATTATGTTCATTTGCTCGGCGAGCAGGCTAGCTGCTTTCTCAACTTGAACACGCCCATTGACTACGTTCAGTAAAGCTCAACTTCTTTCCAACATGTTGCGACAATTGTTGAGTGAGCGGTTACCAATTGCTGAACGATTCTATTCTCTTTTAGGGCCAATTTCACCAATGTCGGTTGAGCTAACCGACGGTTAAAGTGTCAACCGTGATTGGTTCATTCTGGTCAAAGGCAAATGCGATTGGATAATTCCATTGGAATTAACCGTCGGTTAAATTGGCCCTAAGTCACGTGACTTATATCATCTGTTTCCTGTGGTATGACTTTATTTAGATTAATTTGTCATTTTCATCGTTCGTATTGTTTATTCGGTGAACATGGATTTATTACATTTGATATTAATTGCTGTCAACGATGCGGATGATGTGAGAAGTATAAAACGTATCTATTTAGATTATGTTGCTTATACGTTTCACAACCGACATGTTGAGCTCAGATAGCGGTCTTAAAATATGATGGAAAAAATGGCGTCCGCTCAGTAAACACATTCCGTATCGGGCACTGATAACAGTGCGCTCAGCAGCTTTTCAATGAACCGTTGTGCAACTGTTGCGCTTGCTGAATGTAACAAAATGTAGAGTCAACTGTTGTGGAGTGGATCCATAAATGCTCATTGCTATTGGTGTATTCTTTCAGATTATCCAATAGCAGCAATCGCTCACGGATCCGCTCCGCAACAGTTGCACAACAATGGGCGCATTTAGCGGACTACTAAACGCGAGCGTTGAAATCTTCATTAATTTGATACAGATTTTAATTATTTCAGTAATTTCAGCGATCTATTTCCATCAGGATTCAGGAGCGATATAAAAAAAGTGGATATTGTTGTGTAGTTTACATCCACTTCTTCAGAGGGCAGTAGTTTGCGGCAGCATTTTACGATTACAGAAAAAAGACCCTCACATCCTCTCTCAGGTCTCTCTCTGATAATTATAACGCTCACACGTTCATGGAATCGTTTCATCCTTGTTGTTTGTCAAATGTTGAACGAGAAAAAACGATGCTCGAAACGTTGCGAGCCTTAAGTGAAATGTAGCCATATATAATCTGCTAACATTCTATACAATGGACTTCTGTTGATGCTAAAAAAAGTTTTCAGTTTTGAAGTTTTGATCAAACGCATGTTGTTTCTAATTATGCGAGATACTTGTCAACTTTATTTTTCTTGCTTTTTCGGCCGTTATTAGCTATGTAGGTAGACGAGACACAAACAATAATACGTATCATAAACAGTTATGCATCACGGTGTCATATGTGTGTCATCACAATAGTAATCGCCTCTTAGCAACAAAAAGTTGACACTCATTATGTATAGATTTTCTCGGCGGCTGTGTCAAGCGTTCGCATCGTCGAGGTGTTCTCGCGGAAATCGGCACGTATCGAAGAGTTGTCAACAATTTTTAGAAATTACGGTTAATCGTCCGAGTACAGATAATCGTACGCATTAATTATATATTTTTTATATCTGATAAAAATGAGAAATTTAGAAAAATCACAATACTGATTTGTATAAGGGACTCTGCACTAATGGAAAAAATGTCAAATTAATTTTGGAAGTGTAACGTTTTGTAGATTATAGAATAACAATTTTTTTAGAATTTTGTATGAATTAGAACACTTCTGAAATTATGAAAAAGTGTGTACCTTTTATTTAGAATTTTTAATTTATAAATTCTAAAATATCCTAATATTTTTTAGAATTCTTATTCAGTTATTGAAAAAATATTTTGAACTTTTTTGAATTTTATAAGAATTTGATTTTAATTTTATAAGCATTCATTGGAAATTATAAAATGAAAAATCTTAATCTGAGAATATTTCAAAATTTACATAATCTGAAGAATTCTAAAAAAGATGTTTCCTCAACACTTTTGAAAAGTGCTCTAATTTGTAAAAAAATTTGAAGTTTTTAAAAAAGTTATAAAAATATTCTAAATTTTGAAATTTATATAAAGTATTAAGAAATTATGTAAAGAATTCTAAGAAAAATTTTCTATTGAATTATTATATAATTATCTATTAAATTATTAATTTTTTAGTAATTATTTTAATACTTTTATGCCTAGAAGATGAATCATTTGATATAAACAAATTAAATCGTTTTAAAACAAATTTAATTTTTATTTATGAAAATTATATAATTTTTTAAAACTATATGTTTTCTTTATATCACAATTTATATGTTTCATCATCTGTGCATAAAAGTATGAAGATGCAGTTACTAAAAAATAGTTTAATAAATAGTAGATAAAAATACTTTTCAGTTTTATTAGATTAAAAATAGCAACTTTTAAATGTACTACGATAAAAAGTGGTCATTTTTTATGGTTTTGCTTAACAACAAACTTTAATTTTAACAGCCAATCTATAAATCTATAAAATATCCTAGCCAATTTGACTGAAGCTAATATTTTTTGAATGCAGAATTTTTTTTAGAATTCTTTTTCCTTTTGTCTTTTATTTGCTTATTTCTTGTTTTGTTGAAAGTGAACGCTAAAATTCATTAATAAAATTTTAGATGAAAAATAGAACGTTTTCATGTTAAATATTTGAGATTTATTCTTATTAGTGTGTTTGTAACGTATGAATTTCTTTTCAGTGACACGGACCTTTTATTCTTCAAGCATACCTTATCGGGAAAAAGACATTGAAGCTCTAAGTGAAAACGGAATGGCGGAAGAACAATTTGTAGTTAAATATTTGGATTTACTGCAAGAACTGGAGAAGCCTGATGTTCTAGTCATTGATGTTAGAGAATCTGACGAGATAAACAAATCTGGCAAAATACCAGGAAGCATTAATATAAGAGGTAAAAATTTTTTGTTGTATATATAAATTTTGGAAAATTTAATGTTCATTTCTCAAACGTCATACATAGTAATAATATTAAATCATCATTAGAAGAATATATAATAGTAAGTATTTATACATTTTTTCAGTGGACGATGTTGTTAAAGAACTTGTAAACCTTACGGAGGAGGATTTTGAAGAAAGATATAAGATACCTAAACCGGCTAAAAACACAAAAATCATATTTAGTTGCTTATCTGGCAGAAGAGCCGAAATAGCGTATAAGAATATGATGGAACGAGGATACACACAGTATGACAATATCTTTTAGAATTATTAATGGGAATTTATTGTAATAGAGTTCTGTTTTTTGTTTTGCAGAGTATATTTTTATAGAGGAAGTTTCAAGGAGTGGATGGAAAAACAAAAGCCGGAAAGACAAGCTTTTATAATCAAATATGAACAGTTATTGGAAGACCAAAAGAATCCTGATGTTCTAATCGTCGATGTTAGAGAGTTTGAAGAGATAGACGAAACTGGAAAATTACCAGAAAGCATCAATATAAGAAGTAGGAATTTTTCGTTGGTTCCTAAATTTTGGAATTTTATTATTCATTTCTTAAACGCCATACAGTAATAGGTATAATTATATGTGCGTGAATAATATACAGGATGTTTGATAATTCTACCGATAACGCTTATGGGCAGATAGTGCAAACTAAATTAAAACAGTAAGTCCTCTACCATTTTACAATTTTCGCAATAGTTAGCAAGATATTAATTACTAAAAATCATTAAAAATCAATATTCGGTAATTAATACCTTGATAACTATTGCGAAAATTGTAAAATGGTAAGACTTTCCGTCTCAATTTAGTAAGTTCTACCAGCACGCGAATATTGTTGACAGAATTATTAAACACCCTGTATAACAATAAACAATTAAATATACATTTGTTTCAGCAAATGAAGTTGTTAATGAATTTGAACTTTCGGAGGATAAGTTTGAGGAAAAATACGGCAAACCGAAACCGACTAAAAACACGAAAATCATATTTAGTTGCCGCGCTGGCAGTAGATCTGAATATGTCCAAAAACAGATGCAGGAATTAGGATATAAACAGTATGACAATATCTTTCAAAATTATTAGTAGAGATTTATATTACCTATTTATAATAGAGCTCTACATTATGTTTCGCAGGGTATATAATTTTGAAGGAGGTTGGGAGGAATGGAAACAACAATTGGAAAAAAAAAGAAAATAAGAGGAAAAAGAGGAAAAATAAGTAAAAGAAGAACGTTAGTGGAACATAAAAGAGGAACTACTAATTAGAATATTTTCATTATTGCACTGATTTTATATATATAGCATTTTGAGATGCTCTATTGTTACAAATAATAAAAGATAGTTTTATTTGATGCAATATTATTGGATATTGTTTTTTGACTGCTGACAAAACTGTCCACGGATATTGAGAAAACAGATAATTATTTAAATATATACATATACTGATGTTTTTTATATACATTGTCTTACAAAAGCTTAAAATTACACAATACGTATATACACAAGATTCTGCGTCAATGTTTCATAGATCATGATAAAGTCTTCAATTCTTCTTCTCTTGTGCCATTTTCTTGTGATTAATCATCTCTCTAAACTGTCCTAATATAAGATTTTCCCTCTTCTGTCGTTCTTCTTTGCTGAACATTGCCAAGGCACGTTTCTCGTCGGCAGAATAAATCTGATTTTCCTTTCGAATACGAACGGCTTCCATGCGACGATGCCTTTAGAAAAAAGATTAAATTATTCAAATAAAGATAAAGAGTGTTTAACATCACTCTGACAAGCGCAGTAAATAAAAATATCGTATTTTATTTGTTGGTATTTGAGATCATCAAGACCTTCTGTTAGTAACAATTGGAACAGTGAGTTGAATATAATTTTATATATTTAATCAAAAACCACTACATTACCTGCTGCCACTCATGACGTAACCGACAGATTCGTACGCCGCAATCTCTTCTGATGTGAGTCCGATCTCACCTCTCCTGGGTATGCGTTTTCCTTCGGCGACATAAGCTGCCATTGCCGCACCCTCGCCTGGTAGCAGGGCCTTACCAAAATCCTTGGCTGAGAGAGTCACGTGTGGTTTCGGGGCGGGTCCAACCGTACTATCGTCTCCACTGTCATCTGAACTCGTGCTTCTCTTTGGTTTCGGCTTATCAGGAATGGTGCTTTTTTCTACCCAAACCTCCTCGTCACTGCTGTTGCTGCTATCACTATCGTCGGAGCTACTACTGTCCGTTTCTTTCTTTGCTTTCTTTTTCTTCTTCTCTCTCCTCGCTTCCCTCTTCGCCTTCTTTTCCCTCTTTTTCTCTTTCCTTGCTTTCTTCTCTTTTTTCAGTTTCTTGCTTTTCTAAATATTTAATATTATTATTAATATTTTTCACCACATACTGGCTATTGGCTGCTAAAAATTTTTGGTTAAATGAGTAATTTTAATAGTCTTAGATAAAGAATATTTAACAAAGATCTCTAATATACAAGTACTTAATATAATTTAGCATTAAAAATATTGTGTTCTTAACTTGTAACAAGAACATCAAAAATTTTATTAACTTATAAACAGAAAAATAGATTGACAAAAATTATCATAAAGTTATATGTTGGCTGAAAACTTTTGGCAGCCACTGTATTATTATTAATTGAATATCATTGTTTAATTAAATGTTGACTGTCATTAATCTAATACCTTCTTTTTAGCATCATGCCTCTTCCTCTTGCGATCCTTTGGTAAAATATTGTCCTTGTGTTTATTCAAATCTTCATCATTCTCTGAGCTACTATAAATAAAACAACAAAAACTGAAACCTCAATACTATGCCATATAAATATATAGTTTTTTCAATATGAACTGTTAATATTTATTTAAATTCTTAAAGCTCAATTTGGTAAGTTCATACATTAATCTTATATTACTCCCATGATTTTTTTTAACTTAATTATTTGTGAGAGATATTTCTGATATTCCAACATTGTATCTCATCTTTCATTGTTCTCTTTGAATTATGAATAAATTAAGATTTATATTTTATACATATTAATAAAAATTAATACAATTTCTTTTATAAATTGTAAAAAATTTGCACTAAATATTATAAAGAATATAAATAGCATTTTTTCCTGGATATTTCACGATAATTCATAATTAAATAAGTATAAAAGATTTGTTATGTACATTCTTTAAATAAAGATAAATTACATTTTTTAATTGTGAAATATTAGGGTATCCTACAAATATTTGTTATATTCTATATACATCCTTTAGATAAAGATAAATACATTTTTTTAATTGTGAAACAATTTGCGCTAAATATAGTCTGAAAAAAATGGCATTTATAAAATTAGCAAATTTATAAGGCTGGGATACTCTGGACATTCAGCGCGAACAATGAATGAATAATATCGTAAAAGAATCAATCCTAACCTCACAAGATACAAATTACAGGTGATCGTTCTCAAAGTTAATTCCTTTTCGGCGAATGCCGTCACCAAGATCGACGACCCGAGTAAATACAGCAACAAATCAAGCCACAAATACGTCGTCAAAGTTCTATATGTTCTATTTATCAGAGGTGACTACCGTGTCTACGTACTATTCGATTTGCGTTGGGGATCTGCTCCAAGCCTCAGGAACTCCGCGTAATCCTATCAACTCTCTTTCGCGTCTTCGCGCGTCCATCATCTTCTCATTCATCATCTTGTAAAATATAAACTAAAATTTATTTACTTTATACCTTACGTTAACGACGCGTCTATTAACAAATGACGGTTACAGATAAGGTTAGGTTCACTCTGCAATTTCACGTCGCATCTCGTATGTATGGTAATGACGTGAATTGCAGAGAATCTCTCCGTTTCTCTTTCTCATTTCTCCCATGTTCTTTTCGAGGTACTTTTATATTTTTCTTATTTTTTTTTATAAACTATGTGTCTTATAATCCTCCTTCTTTTTATATTCATTTAAATATTCATGGTTTACACGGTACGAAATATTATTCATATAAATTGTTTGAAATATTTCAAAAATATTTTATAAATATTTGTTAAACATTTTAAAAGGTTTTTTAAAGTTATATTTCACAGAAATGTTTAAGAAAAATGTATACTATACAAATATTATAAGAAAAGAAATATGTATATTTTAAAACTCTTTTGATTTTTGCTGGACATATATTTTATACATTTTGAAGAATTTTATGAAAAATCTCTGAAATATATATATTTCAAATCCTGCAATTTAAATATTTTATAAGGACTTACAATAGGAATGTCATCGTTATTTGATAATATCGAATATTCCATATTTTTTGTTATTCGATATAAAAATATCGAATAAAAAATTAAGAATAAAATATATCGATTAGATATTTTGTAACTATTCATATTCACTCTCGTACCGCAATTAGAAAATCTTTTAAGATTCTTAAAGCTGAAACTTAAATTTGCTTTATCGCGAATGGTATAATCGTTAATTTTTTAAATATATAATATACAATTTTGAGATAATAAAATACCGCACAACTTTTTCTCACTAACTTAATTAATATTTTTCGAAGACATTTGCTTTGAGCTTTACTTGAAACTAAAGTAGAAAGGTATAATAAATACTCATAAATAATAGTACTAATACGATGATGTTTCCTACAAGACAAGAGCTGTCGCTTTTATTGAAATTGGTGTGTATACACGAGGGGCACAGTGCTTTTACGTGGTTTCGTATAATACCGCAGCACACTGCGATTTTCAAATAATGAGCGAGTTTGAGCGCGTCTTAATTCACATTTCGAGACGCTTAAGACGCTTTCGCTAAATGATCTCTTTACTGGTCCGGTGCATATAATTCTCTTTCTCTCCTCCTCTTTTTCTCCATCTCTTTTCTTTCTATCGTCTACCTTAATTAACTATATATGCATATGTACACTTGCGTAATAAAATTCTAGCGAATTTTGCAGGCATGTGGTGACAGTAAGTCTGCCTTGGTGAAAAAATTCTCATATCTTATATTTTAAAAAATTTGCATATTTTGAATTTCTAAAAATTAAAAAAAAAGTACTTTAAATTTCTTCAGATTTTGTAAGTTTTCGTCGAAAATTAATAGAATGAATAAATACTTAAAATACTTAAAAAAAAGAATTTTTTTAAAAGGTCATAAAATTATACATTTGCAAAAAAAATCTGAAATTTTGAAATATTGTGTAAAGAATTATCAGAAAATTTTTCACCAGGGATATTCTTTGTAGCTGAGTCACGTTACATTTTTTTCACTTAAAATAATATGTAATTAAATGATAAAAATGAAAAAGGAAGAATAGAAGCCTATATATCAGATCTTCTATTTTTAGTTATCGAATTTAAAGGTTTTTTAAGCTTAAAAATTTTCAAAAGATGTTTCCACAACTTTGGACCTGGAGTATAAACAATAATAAGAAAGGCTCTTTGTAGCTGAGCTATACTATATTTTCTCTTCTTCACTTAAAATAGAATATTTTCTTCTTTACTTAAAATAGAATAGATATATAATAAAATGTTAAGAATAGAAAGAGGAAGGATATTAGCACATACCTTCTATTCATATCGATACATACAAAAGATTTAGCTATAAAGAACAAACCTGAGTCTGCCTTTTGTAGTCACGTTATTATATATGTATATCTTTTGCATTTAAAAGGGCACGTGACTGAACATTGAAGAGAAAAAGAGATAAGATAACAAGTATTAAATGTTCAGCTACAAAGAACGAGCCTTCCGTTTTGTAATGCTATGAAAACATGAAGATAGCCAAGGGCGAAAGCGCAATATGAGCACTTTGACCGACAAAATATCCAATATATATTCCGTTAAAAATGCAACGATATTAACATCGTCTATTTCATCGGTCAATATGTTAACATTTTGTTTTTACCATTAAACAGCTACATACACAGTAGTCTTCAGTTTATATCAGTGTCGAATAGTACAAAGGATCGAATTCGCCGTTAATTATGCATTCAGAGAATGCAAATTGGGGACTCAAATCTTATTAATCAGATATCTTTGATTTTAGTCCGTTCAGCCTGATTAATGGAACTACAATCTCCAGTCTCCTCTTAATGAATACGCAATCTGACGCGGTTTTACCGAAGCGCCCCGGAAAAACTCGTTCATTTAATAGAGCGACTTCAAGTCATTGTATCGTGTTCCGATTAACTTGAATGGCAATGTTTAAACAATTCTTCATTTCATAAAAACAATCGTATTTCTCAAATTTTTTTTATATTTTATGGAGATTTCCCATTTTAATGGAGTAATATCTCGTAACGTGGAAAAATGTTAATTTTTAAAAATAATGGAATTATTAATTTATAATTTAATAAATGGAATTATGAATTTTTTAAGTTAATATGCTTATTGATTTATAAATACGATTTTATAAAATCAAGAACAGAATTGCCAATTTATAATTTTGTAAATAGAATTATCAATTTTCAGCATTTATGGAAGGAGAGATTGGGAGCAATGAATTATACAGTCAGAAATTTCCCTTTAAGCAATTCTACCGGTTGAATTACTCGTCAATCAAGTTAATCGAATTTCGATCGAAGCCGTCCTTAAAGAGACCAGTCAGGGCCGTCTCGTATGTACGCATATGTAACACGTTACACTCCATTATGTATATCGCTATGTATACATAGTATAAAATTAACATTATAGAAGATATTCAGAATCCCTTGGCAAGCTTCCACAACGTCGAAAACCGCTCGCGATTCCTGCGACAAACGATTGCGAGAAGATATAGATAATATATTGTAAAAAGTAAGTGGCGGTAAACGCAGGCGACGCAAGGAACACGTCCCCTTCGACGGGAAGCTGCTCTGGAAGCTTGTCAATAAAGCTTTGAAACATCCTATGTAATATATATACATGCATACGCATATCGGAAATTATTATGTACATGGTTCATTGAGAAACTACTTGGGGAAAAATCGGAGCAAAAGTCGAAATGGTCGAGCGGATCGAGCCACAGAAATTCACTTTTCTCTTCCGATATCGTAATACAATATATCTCTATAGTACCTGTATCGTAATAATATTTTGTTATTCCAGAATTCTGGCAGAGCAAAGAGTATTAAATTTGATCGCGTGAGCCGTTGTTCACTCATCTCTTTAGAATATTGCTTCTGAATATGACATTGCAGTGCAAATGCGACTTCAGACTTTCCTCCTGTGTCCATCCTCCTCTCTTACAGTCTATATTATACAAACTTTGTTCGCGTGTATGATAAATAAATAAATAAATGTGTTCATTTAAACAGCGGCTGATGCACTTAAATGCGACGGAGCTATGAACGCAGATCGTTAATTTAAATGCTGAATAACAATCATTAACGTTAATATTTCGTGATAAAATATAAAAATAATGTATATATATTTTTGTAGGAATATGTAAAAATAATATACTTTGGAAGATACGGAGATGAAATGAAATGTGTATATGAGATATCTGGAGCTGTCTGGAGCTTGATCGAGAGATGCAAGATCTTAATACAATTTCCATCGACATCAGAACAATCACGTGCGAAAAAGGCAGTATATAATTTGTTCAAGTTCCGCCGCGAGTTTTACGTGGCGAAGCGTTCATTTTATACATGTACTATTCTACAAACCCTGCCCTGTTATTTTCATTAGTAGCTACACACTTTATACTTCAACATCGTTCAATTAATCTCGTTATTCATATAATTCTGAAATATATGTGATCTTATTCGTAAACTTTTGTTCTCGGTATATATATATATATATATATCTCTATCTTTTGTTAGAATAACTCACGAGAGATACGCAACTCGTCCTTTCTCTCTCTCTCTCTCTCTTTTTTTCTTTATCTTCTAGTTTCTAAAATAATTATCACTATATGTGTGGGAACGCCCGAGTTAGTGGTATCGTCAGGTAATATTAGCGTTTGAAAGGTAGATTTTACCCGAATGCCGCATAGCTTTACGGGATTTACTTTCTGTCCGTCGAAACATGCTTAAAATTACACCTAAGGCCCATTTCTACCACTGTAGATTAACTTTAATCTCGATTTAACTCGATTTAACAAAACTGTCAATACCATAATGTTAATTATAATTTTTCAATCAGCAATAAACTATTAATGTTACATAACATATATAACAATTATGTAACAAAAAGTTATATATATTATTGAATGAAAAATTATAATTGATAGTTATGTTACTATTAACTGATGTTTACTGGGAATTTAGCTTTTATCTTTTTTTAATTCTTAGAACTAGAAGGAAATAAAAAAGTAAGTTATATAAACTGAGATTAAAGTAGGCTACAGATTTCTGGTAGAACTGAGCATAAGTTGAAAGATTCGCTCACGCACGTGCGTGTATGTGTTTTTATGTGTTGTGTACATAGAGGTAACACAGCGCATAATTTTAATTAAATACATATATGCCCATTTCTATCAATGTAGAATAACTTTAATCTTGGTTCAACTTACTTTTCATCTTTTTCTAATGCCCTTTCCTACTAATGTAAGTTAATTTTAATCTCGATTCAACTTACACTCTTCATTCTTTTTTAATTTTTAAAACTAGAAAAAGATGAAGAATTAGTTAAATCAAGATGAAAATTAAACTATCTTGGTAGAAATGGACGTAATTCTTAGAACTTTTAAAAAAGATGAAGAGTTAATTGAACCGAGATTAAAATTAAACTACGTTATTGGAATTGGGCTATAGAGGACTATCACAAATAAGTATATCACTATCTCGCGAACAGAAGACATTCGATGAATAGATTCTTTTTCAACTTGACTCGAGTCCACGCAAGCTGACACGAGGACGAATACGAGATCGTGTCCTCGGAGGAGGAAAAACGAACGAGGGAAGGAAGCAGCATGTGGTGAAGTTCCGAGGAACCTGGCCACCCGTTGCATGATTATATATGGCACTATGGGGGAGGATTTATTGAATAGAATTAGTCATTGGACGGTGAAGCACAGAATTAGCATCGCTAGACAGTCGTTTCCCGGTCCACGTGAATGTATTCCACGAAACCGGGCGGCTGTTGTCAGGATGCCGCTCCCAGAAGCGTCTCCTCGGTTGGTGCACGTCGCGGCTTCTTGCTCTTCGGCCCCTTGTAGTGAAGTCTCTTTGTGCGAGTTTTGGATCTAGAAGAGACAAGACGTAAGATGAAGGGGAGCGTGTTCTATATTTGATTGGCGTATAAATATGTTGCATTTCCGTAATTATATTCACCCTATATTAAAATTTGACTGCTTTCATATTTTCAACGTTATATAAAATTCAGGATGTTGTACCTAACAATATGCAATAACATCTTTTTTTGGAAAGTAATTATGTTTTCTTTACAGCAATCACTCTGTATGTAAAATTATTAAAATAGTTAAATGCGTGTGAATAGAGATATTTCATATTTCATGTCAAAAGTATCAGAAAAAGATTTAAAATATATCGTAAATTATTGATTTTTTTATTATTTCTACCTTGATACTTTTATATGCGGAATGAGAGAAATCATATTATCTAAAAAAAAATCATAATTCTATTTAACAGCGAGTTTTTTTAAATGGCCATTTAATGAAATTAAATAGCCATTTATAAAAAAATGGCAATTATTTTTATATGACGGTAAAAATTGATTTTTTCGAAAGTTAATTTTATCTTTTATCTGAACATATTTCTAATTCATCCTTATGCTGCAAAGATAAATATTATATAAAAAGTAAATAAGTTAAGTAATAATTTTGTTACAGTTTCTAGAATTCAAAAATTTGGAAAAACTGGAAAAGGATTAAAACTTAATAATAAGTCTAGCAGCTATAAGATAAACTTAGTGTCCCAATCAACGAAGAGTACAATAGAGAACAGTAATAATCTTTACATCGCTAAGTAGTGAGGATTCATTTGCTTTACACTTACTCTGCAATTACTACTTAAAAGTTTAATAAGCCTAGCAGCTTATAAAGATGAGCACAGCCTTTTAGTTTCAATCAGCGAAAAGTACAATGAAGAACAGTAATAATCTTTACATCGCTCGTAATGAAGATTTATTTACATTAACTCTATTCTGCAGCTATTACGTAATAACTGATAACTTTATCATTCATTATTGATAATGACATCTAATAGGATCTAAAGGATTAACATTTTTCCTTACTTTTTAGATTTCGAGTTACCTGCTAATAAGAATAGTGAATAGGCACGCGAAGGCAGTGACAATTCCACCGACGCCGGTGACGACAAGCCATATGGTAGGCGGGAGCAGTCCGAGCAACCGCGCGCCGTTCCCGCAGTTGGCCTCGTCGTGACCGGATGGGCAGTGCGCGTGGCCGTCGCACCAGAGACTGGCGGCGATGCACGCACCCAGTTCGGGGCATTTGTGCGGGCAGTCGCCGATGTACGACGGCATGCCGTTCGTTTCGTTCTCAATCACTCCGCCGGCGATTCTCTCCGGGAGACGCAGCTGCCGGCGTAGCGCCGCGCGACTCTTGGAGATCTCCAGCCAGGAGGCGGCCGCCTGACCGGATTCCCGCGCCACGAAGTCCAACAACAATGCGGGTGGCCTGGGTGGACCCGGCCACTTACCCTCCTCTGTCGGGCCTAACCATTCCTGTGAGAATACGTGCACGGTGAATTCGCGGGCGCCCGGTTCCGCTGGGCACACCACCTTCAGCAACTTCGGCGGCCAACCAGAATAGAGAAGGATGCGATTGGTGGTCGGGCACTTGACCTGATCGCCGCTGACGCCACTGCTGGTACCGCTAACACCACCAGATATCTCGGGACCGGCGAGTGGCGGTGGTTCCAACGGCAGAAACCAGCCCCAGGTCAGGACGAAGAGTGACCTGTTCTCGTGCGCCTCCACCAACCACGGAAGACCTTCGCAATAGATATCTGGTCTCGACAGCGGAGGATTGACGAATCTCAGTTCACCACCCTCGCCGCGGATACGTTGCTTCCGTGGACATTCTGGCACACGGATGAGCTCAAAGCTGGCGTAGAAAAAGAGTGTTTCAAAATCTTCGTGGGGCGCTTGCTGATCCACCAAGAAAGTTATCTCTAGCGCACGACCGGAGGTGATGTATGTAAGTGGCAAGTGTGACGTATTGTCGCATAGACACGCTCGGGGTAGCTTCACATCCCGCCATGGCGCTTCGTAAATGACCAGACGCGCTTCCCTGGATCCCACTTCCTGAACGCAGCGTGGTTTACCAGTGTGTGGGTCTGAATCGCTTGTGCACATGGTGGACTCGCCCAGACTAACGTTGTGCAGCGTCAAACGAACTCGCTCTCCACTCCCAGCTTCCACACGATACCTGCATAGACGAGAGACATGGTAATTAAAGTCAATACATATTCATGATTCTCAGTCAAATGAATTTAGATTGAACAGATGAGAAAGAAAGCTACTATGGCGCTAGAATCTTGGATTTGTGTTTGTTTAGAAATGGTTTGTTTTTCTAGTGATTGCCAGTTGATTGCTACTTGCGAAAAATTTAATCCCGTCTTTACCTGCAATCCAACTTGCTGGCACCACCCCGGCCGAATAGACGTACGTCACGCGGCGACATTACCTCGCCGACGTGCACTTTGCGCCATATTCGACTGCAGATCCCATCGCCCCAAGGCTCGCCGGTCTGAACGGTGGAAACGAATTCGTATCGTGCCTGGAAGGAGAAAAGGAATTAGCAAACTATATGAATCCAGTATATTGACTTCACTCTTATTAATGTACTTTGATAAACAGAGTTTTATTTAAATTTCCAACCTGGTGGAAATTTTTCTCAGAATTATTACACGAATTGGAATACTTCTCAAAAATACTAAGAAAGTCTACATTATCTTAATAATCGATACTGATTCAAATTGATGTTATATCAATGTTACAATTTTGCTTCAATTAACTATTATGTAATACCATGTGTGTGTGTGTGTGTTACATTTAATGGAATGGGAATTCTGGAAACTTTTTAATATATGAATTCTAAAATATTTTAAGATTTCTAATATTTCTCGTCTTAAATTTTTTTAGATTTTATAAGATATTATCAGAAATTATAGAATGAGAAATCATAATTAGAAAATGTTGTATTTCAGGATTCACAAATATTAAGAATTCTAGGAAAAATATACACTTTTTTGACACTTCTAAAAAGCGTTCCAATTTGTATAAAACAAAAACCTAAGAAAATTTATAAAATGTTATAAAATTGTTCAGAAAGTTTAAACAATTTATTTATACATAAAAATTCTGAAAACATATAAAAAATTTTGAGAACAATTTTCACAAGAAAAGGCTACAGAGATAAAACAATATACAATTAAATCGAGCTATCTAATTAAACCAAAGATAATGGTTATGCTTGCATCGTGCATTTAGGCTACGATCTGCGATGCCCCAATTTGACCATCAATTATTTAGGCCTGTTGCTGTAAACATTTAGTAACCTGACCTGGCTGTCTTGGCTATAGGCTCGTTTCTTGGTGACCTGACCTAAAATAGGCCACTTGTTCGATATAAACGCGCATTACTTGACCTAATTTTCTCGCGAGGTAATGGCACAACAATTAAAGGCGAATACGATATCAACCCTTAGGGATCTATTAGATCCAGTTTTATAACTCATGGTTAATTCTTAATCGAGGTTTAACTTATCTTTTTCTAAATCTAGAATTAGAAATAAGTTGAACTTTAATTAAGAGTTAACCGTGAGTTGTAAAATCGGATCTTAGTGACTAGAATACAGGTCGCGTATAGATCTCTTGATGTAAACGTAGCTAATGGGAAGCCTTCAAATATTCCAGATAAATGAGTATACTCACGTGGAAGTTAATCGGATGAAGAGCGGTACCCAGAACAGTTTCCATGCGCAGCGTTAGACTCGGAGCGGTCGTTAGATAGCTCTCCTCCTCGGTGCACGGCCTGGTGCTCCTGGTGACATTACGAAGAGCCGCATGAGCGCACAATTTGGGCGTGTCATCGCACAGTGTGGCCATCGGCTGACCCGTATTCGGCGCGCCATCCCAGAAGATGAGTTTAACCGCGCACACCGACGCCGCGGAGATGTCCGGGGTCAACTGTCCGACGCTGGCGTTGTTGTTTTCGCCATTACCAGTGAGATCACGCTGAGAATACGACGAGAAGTATATCCACACACGGTCGCCGATGGCACCCTTGATGTTCCACGTGCAGCTGGAGCCGGGAGGTAACGCGTGCAAAGGTGCGCGGATCGTACCGCTACGTTTACTGCCGACGCCGGTGCCATTTACGAAGAAGTGGCAGCCTTGCGGACCCTTGGCATAATCCAGACCGTCCGAGTCGACGTAGATCACACGTAGCTCGAGCTCGAGACGCAGGGACGACGCGCCCAGTGGTATCGCGACCGGCGAGCTGCGGAACTCCACCTGCATGGCGGGTCCACGTGCGGTCACCTGTGGCAGTGGACCGCCGCAATACACCAAGAGGACCGGGTCTTCCGTGCGTGCACCGTCGCGGAAGATTAGACGGTCCCGATCCGGCGAACAGTCCTGCCAGACACTGAGGCTGGTGTTAACAGTGGCACTGAGACCAACTGGACCGGTAGGCGTGCTCTTGACGGATATCATGGCATGCTTGCATGTAGGTACCTCCTTCTGGCGCACGGTGATCAGGCAACTCGCGTTGCGTGGATACTCGCCAGGATAGTTTGGACTCTGCAGCCGACATTGCTTCAGGTGACACTCGTAGAAGTTACGGGAGCAGTAAGTGCCCGGTACCGGGGAACCCCGCTCGATTGGCAGTTCTGGTTTGCCCAGTCGGGCGACCGCTTCATTACGCGCGACGAAGCGGTAACGGAGACGAAACTCAAAAGGCACCGCGGACGGTGCGTGGAACAGCCGTATAGAGGCAGTGACAGTACTGGTTTCACTAAATCAAACAACAATTAAACAGTAATCAAATAATTAATCATTAATGATATGCGTTATTAATGATAATTACTAATGATTAACTCGAAATATATCATATATATCATTTCACAGATCGGATATGACAAGTAAATATATATGAAATGTTTGATATTTATATTCTTAAACATTTTAAATATTCCATATACTCCGGAATAATAGAAGAATGTTTACAGAATATGTTACTGAAAGGTTTAGAATATTGATAATTAACGATTATCAATAAAAAATTCTTTAAATTTACAGAACCGAGTGATCTGCAATATCTTATCGAGATATTTCTACATTTTCTTGTAAAATTTGTAAGAAATTTACTAGAAATAGGCATCAGGCCTCAATTCGAATTCCGGAGCGCCCTGATATTTTTTTTAGTGCTGTCGCTTATTTCTTACATTATCTTTTAGGCCCAGTTTCGCAATTCACGGCTCTTAAGATTTAACTCATTTCTCATCTCATTCCAATTCTAGAAAATTAAAAAAAGAGATACAGAATAAGTTAAACTTCGATTAAGAGTTAACCGTGAATTGCGAAACTGAGCCTTAATCAGAGGGTCCAGGAGAAAACTGAAGAGTGAGCTTAAGAAAGAGGATACCTGTAGTAGGACGCACGACCCTCGCTGACGCCGCACCACGAGCCGCCAGTGAAGTGTCTACCGAGTTCAGCGAGCTGAAGTGAACCCTCGGGGCAGCTGGTGAAGTAGTTATCAGCGTTCGCGTCGACACGACCAACGCTGAACGCGTCCCACAGCAGTTGGACCAGTTCACCGTAGCCCTGGCCGGCCGCGGTGAACGTCAGATGACAGAGGAACGGCAGACGTTCCTCGGCTGGCCTGGGCAGGTCCAACTTGTACGTGTGGCCCTCGCGGCCGTGGTACGTGCGATTGCACGGTGTGCACATCGTCGGCTCATCGCTGCCATCACCGCAGTCATCCTCGCCGTTGCAGTAAGCGTCAATCGGGACACAGTGGCCGTCTCGGCACGTCAACTCGGCTAACCCACAAGTGCCACCACCAATGCCGCTGCCGATGATGCTGACACCACCACCGCTGCTGCCGCTGCCACCGCTACCGCTACCGCTACCGCCCGCGCCGCTTGTACCACCCCCGACGCCGCCGCCGCTCGACGCGTCAGCGATCAGCAGCAGCAGCAACAGCGAGACGATACCGATACGATGCGATGATCGGAAATGCTGTTGCCTGTTATTGTTGTTGTTGTTGCCGGATCCTCCTCCGGCATCAGCTATCTCCTGTCAGCGAGAAACATAAATGTCTCTGAGGTTTTATCTATTTTTATATAATTTTATATTTAATATATTTGAAAAGAACAATTTTGCAAAAATATTAAAAAATGTAATTAGTATATATATCTAAAAATTTAACTAGATACAGGTCTGAAAATCAGTTTGTTTGGACTATTAAAATAATTGTGCACACAGATGCTTTAACTGGTTGCTAGAATGTCAAAATTATTTAAAATGTTACTATCAATGTTTAAGCATTCCACATAATTATTTTGGCCCAAAATTATTTTCAGATCTGTATTTAGCTAAATTAGTTCTTTTTGTGTATTTTAATAATAGAAAAAATGATTTTACTAAAACATCTAAAAATTTAATTAGATACAGATCTGAAAATAATTTCGTTTAGACTATTAAAATAATTACGTAGAACATTTAAATTGGTTGCTAGAATATTAAAATCGTTTGCAATATTATTAATGTTCAATTCTACATAATTACTTTGGTCCATCAAAATTATGTTCATCCAGCTAAATTTTTTAATATTTTAGCAAAACTATTTTTTTTTCCGTGTATCTAATAATATTAAGTAATTATTTATAATTTATTGAATTTAAAAAAATGATAATCACGCGGAATTTGGAGAACTGTCTAATTGTAATTTCAATAACTTTCTCTAAAACGATTCTTAATAATATAACATGTACAGGGGAAAACTACGAGTGTCCGCGGATTACGAGCTAATCGTATTAGCGTTAGCCCGCGTCTGAAGCGGGTCGGAGATTTAAATCGATCGGCTGGACATAAGATGTGTATCGAGACGCCGCGTCGTAAACACCTGTTTTGACGAGCGTCCTGAACATCCACGCACACGATCGCGCTAATTCGAATCCACTCAACATTACGTTCATCATAATATCTATACATATATAAACTATTGAGATACTATTTTATCAACGACAGGGTGGGCCAAATTAGACGGACCCGTCGATTTTTACCATAATAATTCGCCAGCGAAACGAGCATATCACAATGACAATTCCAACGTTGCGATTCGGATGTTGGCTTCAGATGAAGACAGCATGACTGGCTCAAGACGACGAGATGAACAGGAGTGACAGAGAAGAGAAGAGGACTAAAGTTACGAATCGCAATCGGCAGTGATCGTCGGCACCGAGAACGGCATCCTCGTGGGCTCGATTGTGAACGACGACGACCACGGTACAGCCTTCCGAAGAAGAGAGTGTGACGGAGGGAACCCCGCCTACGCGCCACCGCCGCCGCCGTCGTCGTCGTTGCCGCACTCACGAGGAGCACCGCTACCCGCTACTCGCTGTGCACGCCCCGAAGGTCGATGCGCAACTGCACGCTACCCATATACCATCCCCAGAGGGAAGCCAGCCATGTCGCGCGCCGCCGCTGCAGGCCATGTACACCGGGGCAGGGGTGAACAGAACGGGGGCTGAGCTCTCTATGCTGGCGGAGAGAGAGCTGGTGCCTTGCCTGCCTGGCCACTAGGCGCCTCAATGCATCGATCGGCTTCTCGCTCTCTCGCTCGTCGGCCCATCCTCACTCCTTTTCTCTCTCTCTCTCTCTCTCTCTCTCTCTCTCTCT